TCTGCAGAAAATTGAACATCTTAAGGAAGAATAAAGAGATATTCCTCAAAGCAAGAAAAGCTGGAAAATCAGAGGTGTTCACCCTGTTATTTATTTTACAGCTCATTTGATCTGGCTTCCAGCCCAAAGGTCAAACCAACTTGTGGCCCATAAGGAGAATCCTCCTTTGCAATGTAACAGGAATTTCAGTGCCTAATTCCCTCTTCTTATCACAGATCAAATCACAGAAAACTCTAGCACCCCAAACATATCTAAGAAAAGAATGATCCATACCTTGCAGTCCATGTTCCCAGGCAATGCAGGCTGAGCCAAAGAAGTGACCCTCCTCTTCCTCCTTGCTGCTGCCAGGAGTCCCGGCTGCCCTGCCCAGGGACCCAGGAGCCCCAGCCCCTCTGCCCTGCCCCGGGGCTCCATTTCAGCTTCAGCAGATGATGTTCAGGAATGTCTCAAGGGAGAGCTGGACCTCAGCTGGGTCCTGGCACTCACTCTGGGTGAGACTCCATCAGTTGGGAAACACAGGAAGGAGCCTGGCCCCACGGGCTGGACCTTTGCCTTCAGGCCAGTGAAGGGCTTCAGTCTGGTCCATTTATCAGTGTAACACTGGCCTCAGGACCCTCAGGGACTGTTTCTCTTGGGACATTCCTTTAGTGCACTAAAGGAAGTGAAGAGAAAATAATACTGAGTGTGTGGCAGTCAGGCAATTGTCATCAGGGCTCAGTGACTTTCAAGACAACAGTGAAACACCTCACAAACCTCAAGTCTGAGGTCTCACTTCTGGGCCAGAGCATTAGCTTAATAAAATAAATGGAATGCTTCTTGCTCTTTAGGATTCATCAGCACATGTAGTTTCCCTGACTTTATTTTTGGCACAGTTGTCAACATGCTGTTCTGTATCCCTCATGTAGACTCCAGGTTGCAGTCCTTGGCTGTATTTAAGGTGGGAACCAAAGAGCACCACAGATCATTGTTTTGTCATGGAATTGGTCTACCAGGAACATACATGAAAATCCACAGGCTAATTATGGAAAAGAGAAACTAAAAGAAAGAAAATATGTATTTCTGGTATTTCATAGTTACTCTTATCAAATGCCCTTCCAAATATGTAACAAAAGCAATCAACTTCTGCTGTGATGCTCCCTTGAAAACACTTCAGAAATCAGCACAGTTTGCACATTTTAAAGCAAGTACAACTTTGTAGGAGCTTGTCTATTAAACACTCAAGTGCTTGTCACCATTCTCCTACAAAACCACTTCTTCTCTAATCATTGTACTATGAGAAAGTTGGTATTTGAGAATGAAGCACTGCAGAGACAAAAGGCTGGATGTACTTTATTCATCAGTATGATTTATTTTACTGTTATTCTGCATTTATTGAGAATTAAACCTAAACTAGGTATTGCTTGCTACAGTTCTAAACCTACAGAAATCAATGTGATATGACAGTATTTGCTTGCCTAAAAACTTCAGAGAAGTTTTGCTGTTTGTTCCAAGATATGTCTGCTATATTTGGGTGAAAGAGAGCATAGAGAGAATGTCTATATGACAGATTTTTTACTTAATTCACCTTTTCAGCCACCCAAATAAGAAATCAGTACTGGTGTAAACTACATTTTCATATATTTACCATAAATTTGGTGTCTGCTATCGGTTTTCCTCTATTCTTCTCAACCTAAGTCAAACCTTTACAAAATTTAGATCCTGTTTTATATATTTCATCTGGTAGATACAAATAGTGAAAGGTAAAAAACATGAGGCAAAAAGTAGGGGTCTACTTCAACACACTGCAACATATTCTGGGAATTAAAAAAATAGAAATTTAAATAATGGTTTAACTCAAATTTTTAAGACATCGCACTAAAGGAAAATTGGCTTAAATAGTAGAAATCTTTCTGAGAGCACAGTTTCATGGCCCCAAGACCCAAAATAATCCTGACAAATACTCTCTGTTTAACTATACTTTTTAACTTAAGCAAATTATTAGATTCTTGTAAGCAACAGAAAAAATGGCACCTCTAGATTTTGAAATGACTTTTGTAATCACTTTGTGCAAGGCTGTGAATCCATTGTGCCTCCACTGTTGGCTGATGAGGGCGTGTTAAATGAGGTGCATTACTCACAGTCCCTTCTGACAGAGTAGTAGGCTACTTTGTTTAGCCTCACAGATTCCCTGCATTGAATATGGGCCTAAAAACTCCTCTTAAGCACTTCTTTTCATACTACATTTCCTAATTTCTTTGTTCAGTAAAGAATTCAGAGTTGAAATTTTCTGCATTGTGGTCTGTGCTTCATGTCAAATTATTTAAGCCAGCCCTCGGTCCCTTCCTTGATTTTGAGTAAGAAATGTAGAACATGTTCACCCACAGACATGGTCTGTCATTCTGAGTTCATAAAATAATTTTTAAATGCCATTCTGGGGACATATGTAGTCATTTAGTTATTTATTCTTTCTTACTATTACTAAGGTAAGAACTCATAGGGGTATGATAAGCTGAGGACTTTCACAATGCCTGTTGTTCTTGTTTAAGACTAGTCTAACTTTTTTATGACCTTTAGCAGAAGCAACTGCTTTTGATTCTTTAAACTTCTGAATTGTTGTTTAACTACTCCATTTCTGACCTAGTAAATTGAAAAGCATTGAGACTTACACCTACCTTACTTAGCACAGATGTTAATTAACATTTTTACAAAGGGTCTGTGTAAATTATGTTTTGGGAAGATTTTTCAAGGATTAGAATTCAATAATACTATAGTGAAATCTACAGTTGGAGGCAGTAAACAACAGATTTAAAATACAGCTAAGTATGTATGACTGAGCCATATTCTCTTTTTGTCTTACAGCAAATACAGAAATAAAGGTAAATACAGATAAGTTAATTCAGATTATGCAGGTAAATTGATTAAAATAAGGGTGTTCTCCTTCAGTCTCACAACACAGTCACTGGCACCATAAAGAGAATTAAGGAGTGCCAACTCTTTCTGTCATTGTGTAAATCACTTTGAGGGAGGGAATTAATTTCCTTGAACTTCAGACAAACTGCCTAGCTCTTAAAAGGCTGAAGTAGTCATGCAGACATCTTTAATAGGGGATAAAAATGACCATATTCAAAGGCAATTACCCATTTTCAAAGCCAGGTATGCAATGCTGTAGTTTTACAATCAGTTTAAACCAGATTAAGCTGTCAGGGTTCTAATTCTCCTTTGTGTCAGCACAAGCATTTACCTTCTGGTTAAAACTAAACAGTGGATTTTTGTGATGTTAGTTTTAGGCAAGATCAATTCACCAACTTTGTTCACTATCCAGCTACACAAAGCTTTCCCAGAGGGAAAAGATGGGAGGGAGGTGAAAGGGAGGCAATAGAAACACTTCTTTTGGCATCAGTGCCAGATGCTGCTTCTGTGAATTGATTGTGAAATTACAGCATTAGAGGCAAAAGGTTGCTGTCTCTATTGATTACAGATGGGACCTCACTGGCTGACCTGGGCTACAGGGCAATAGAAAACACCCTAAAGATATGTGTGTAGAGTAGTTGAAAAGACTAACTTGAAGGCGTTAAATTTTTCATGTAAAATATATATTTCTTAATTAAATGGAAAAATATTTTCTTTTTTTCTTTTCATCTTAGAACACTTCCACACACTTTTATGTGTGTATAATACTAAAGAGGGTAGTTTGTTAGAGAACAAAACAAATTCATTTTCAGAATACTACATGAACATATATTGTACTTATATTTTAATTTAACTAGGCACTGGGGAACTAAATACACAGTATAAGTAGAATAGAAATATGGAAGAACTAGACCCACAATATATCTTGACTACAGTTTCTATCAAAGGCTGAAGTCCTTTGGGATTCATATAGATTGATAAAAAAATTAAAAAGGAAAAAAACAATAAACTCTTATGGAAACCATGTTCTGCTGCCAGAAGGGGTTATATTATTCTCAGTACTACATATCTCACAGAATGAAAAGTGGGCACAAAAAAAAAAAGGGGGAAGACGCAGCATGAAGGAAAGGGAAGAAAACAAGCTAACATTTGTTTTTATATTTTACAGTGTTAGTGATTTGAAGGGAGTCATTTGATGCAACAAATTGGTCTTTCATCTTTTATCCCACCAAAAAGTGAAAAAACTCAGACCAGTGACATAATTTTTTTAGGAGAGAGTAACAGATGAGAAGCTTCCACATAGTTTGGAAATGGCATTTAGAAACATTTTCCAAAGACAGAGGATGGTGTTTGTTAGACTGACTTTCTTCTCTGCCTTCTAAAAACTTAGCAGTAAATTTCCTTTGCCCATGACAAATAGTCTACCCTTAAGTGCAGTAGACCTGATCCAGACCCAGGGACAAAATTTCTCCATCGTTTAAGGGACTGATAACTGACTGCAGGAGCTGTTTGCTTCAGAAATATTTTCTGTTGTTGAATTTTGTTATTATTTGTAATTTAGCTACTATTTAAGGGGACTAAATCTACTATGACAAACTCCTGTTCCATGCATGGAATTATGGTTTCCATGGAACATTGTCTTCAATATACTAGATCCCTAGTGAAATTCAAAGTTTGCTACACATGTAAAACTCAAAGATACCTGAGCTCATATCTTAAATTCAATTTATCTGGAAGGCATAGATAAAGGCAAGCAGTTAGCTGGGCTAGTAGAAAGGTACTGAAAGATACAACAGTAGAGACAGTAGTGTTCTTTTCCTGATTAGAACTGAATTTTTAGATTATCCTAAATCATGAACTTCAGGTGGCTGTCAGATATGAAGTTCATTGAACTAGCTTGGATAAGATCTGAATTAATTTGTCTTTTTAGTCCATTTGCCCCATGCTGTAGTTGATCCTCTTCTGGTTGTAGGTCCCACCATTCTCCATGGTCTGTGGTTCTGCCCCTCTGCTCTGCTCTGTGAGACCCCACCTGCAGCGCTGCAGCAGCTCTGGGGTGCCCAGGACAGGAAGGACCTGTTGGAGGAAGTCCAGAGGAGGCCAAGAAGATGATCAGAGGGATGGAGCACGTCTCCTGTGAGGACAGGATGAGAGAATTGGGATTGTTGGGATTGTTCAGCCTGGAGCAAAAAAGGCTTTTGTGGCTTTTCAGTGCCTGAAGGGAACTTGCAGGGAAACTGGGGCAAGACTATCTACAAGAGCATGTAGTGACAGGACAAGATGGAAAGAGTTCAACTTGAAGGAGAATATGACTGAAAAGATCCCTTTTGCTGCTTTTTGCATCCCTCACCCCCTGCTCAGAACAATTTTCATTAGATAGGAGAGACACTACGACTGTTTTTGATTGCAATTTTACATTCTGCTCTGTTCATAAATGCAAAAATATAAAGGATATCAAGCACCAGTGAAAATTCATATTTGTTGAGCTGAATGAGAAATGATGAAAGCTGAAATACTCCCTTTTAAACAGTAGCTGGAGCAACTACTGGAAAAGGGGATTGTGCACATCCAAAGTGTGATGCTGTGATTAATTATCTTACTCACAAGAGGAAGAAAACAACTATTATCATGGTAAAATAAGATATTACTCAGTGGGAAATTATATCAACAGAAGCTTCAGAAAAAGAAAAGAAAGCTTTTGTATGGTCTTTGGCATGAAAACAAAACAAAATCTGGATCAAGTTATAGTTGATATAAACATTAGAATCTGAGGTTTTTATGACATCATTTATGAAATTTTAATTAGTACAGAGACTCATGAAGCTGTCAGACTACAGGGACTGAAGCAGAAAATTAGGATTATGAAACTGCAATGCATACAACTCTGTTTTATGTCATCTATTTTGAATGCTATGACTTTCCTTTATATGTCAAAATAATGCTATAAAATTAATGTTTCATTGCTTCTATTGATAATCTTTCTTTTCACAGTAGTGCTTTGGTTTCCTAAATGTTAATTTAGAGTGCAATGCATCCAACACATAAAAGAAAAATATATTTTAAAGATGCTGAATTATCTAATGTTATTAGGTTTTAAAAAATTATTATTGTAAACTGATATTATTCAATTTGTTTTACCCTACAGAAACCTTTTGCACTTTTAAGTCTGGAATGTCTGGAAGAAACTAAGACACTAAGATAGACTCTGTGACTTTAAAAAGCAGGTAGAAAATAACTCAAAAAGTCAGATCAAACTCTCATTTATGTTAATGTGAATTGAGCCTACAATGAAACAATTAGCAATGGAAAAAAATAAAGCCCTAAGGAATAAGATCAAATAGCAACATAAGTTCAAGTAACTAATGAGATCAAATACTGATTTATTTTTTTTCTTATTTTCTTTCTAAATGGAGGGTGTTCAGTCTGTGTGGTATCTCAGGCCCTCAAATAGAAACAGAGCCTGACATTAAAATGTATTTTTCCTGAAGAGCAGTGCTATCTCCTTTTCAAAGAAGGAAACTACACAGTATTTTGTCTTCTCAAGTTCAAAAGTAAATTTGAGGTTGAGGATGTGCCTGAATAGAAACCAAGTTCTTCTGATCTAATCCTTAGTAAAATGTAATCTTGACAGAATGGTGTCCTCTCCCCCCATCAATCAAGCTGTATTGTCTTCTGGCAGAATTTCCCAAAGATACCTAAGAAAGGATAGATACCCTTATTCTATCCTTATCTTATGGAAATGCACACTTATTCTTGAGAAGATACTAAATTATAGCAGTCTACCTGGAAGTAAGCCAGAAATACAGTTTATTTCTTGTCTTTTAATTACAGTTACTCTGCTCCTTTTTATGTCAGAAAAACCAAATGTACCTTATTGCTCTTTAGATAATTCTCCAGTGCCAACACAATGGTTGTGGGAAACAACAGGCAAATTAATTTTCTTTTCTGTCTTATAAATCTATGAACCTAGGAAAGAAAAATCCAGTTTTATAACGGCATAGACAGTCTCTAAAGTAAAAGAAGATGGGAATGCAGTTTGAATCTAAATTAGTCAACTAGCATGATGTAGTTAACCAGCCTGAATATATTGTCTGGTGTAAGAAAATTAAAGACAATATTAAGTAATAAAAGGTGAAAAAAAAGAGAAATAACTATAAATAAAAAAGAATGTGGGGATTTTCTAAAAGAAAATTCAAAGGCAAAAACATAAAACACGCAATGAACGGAAAATAAATAAAAGGCTTGAATCATGTCACATAGTACCCTGAAATTAGAGCCACATGTGATAAATGGATGGAACAAATGTAAGTTAAAGAAACACTGTTAAATAAGAGTTTGGATAAATGTGAAATTTTGTCTAACAGCTAAAAAAAGAGGACAGAGTGGAACAGAAGGACAAGAAAGGGTGAGTATAGAAATTAAAGTTCCAAAGTTCTGCATTTAGTTGGTTAGTGTTACATAGTGTTAGATTGCAACAGAATAGAACAGCACATATCACTATCATATGAACACACTTTATCAGCACAGAAGAGAAAAGGCACACAGCTTGAATGTAGATATACACAAAGCCAAGAGCCAGCAACAATAGAATTATGGACAGGAAAAAAAATAGTTTAGGTATTTTCAGTATCTGTTTCATTTATTGCCAATTACAGGGATAATATAAGGAGCAGAGGACTTCTTTTTGAAATTAGATGATGTAGCTTTTTTTAAAGAGCATGCTTTCATCTATTTCTATCCAGTAAACAGGACAGCTGAAGCATCATTTGAAATAAGTAAGTGACCAAAATATGGATGGAGGTGGTATTCAATGAATAGGAATTAAAATAAACAACTTTAATAATTATGAACAAACATAAAAGAGAGGACCTGGAGGAAATAAGCAAAAACCTGAAGCTGCAAATTGGGAAAACCTGAAACTGAAAATTATAAAAACTGTGCAAGTCATAAGAGTTTTCTCAGTGATTCCAATGTCATACGGAATTAGCTCAGGAAAATGCCCTGTTCTATAAAAGAAAAATTCAAAGAGGAAAAGATTTTTAGACATCTGAGCTAAGTAAAAGTAGAGGAAAGTACTGTGGTAGAATAGAAAAGGAAAAGTACAAGACTGAATGCAGATTAAACACAGATATGATAACTCATATACAGAACAATTACAATGAGTTCTCAGTTCTTTTGAAGACAGATCATGAAGGTACAGACACTTAAAAGAAAGAGATAGTGCTATTTATAATGCCATGTAAATAGAATTCACAATTCACAGGGCAGAGAACAGGAGATGCTAAACCAGGCAAAGGAGCATACTGGGAATTCAGACAGACATCTTGAAATGAACCATGTCAGAAGCAATAGAAATATTTCAGGTCTGGTTTGCTTTTCTTCTCCAATATGACAATAAAATGAAAAGCTTAGATTTTCAGAGATGGGAGAGAGCAACAAGGACTTTCAAGATGATAACATCTCTTTAAAAATCTTTACTGCATCTTCTGCTTTTGAGTATGCTCTGGTTATGTTTTGGAGGTAATATGTACATTATGTAAATGAACCCTTGAATCTGCATGTTCAAAGGATGAGAATTCCTTAAAAGACAAAACACCACTCCCATTTGTATAATTGCTTTATCTCTGCCACAGATACTTAACATCTGTTCTTGCTAACACTTGTGAAGTTGTCTGACAGCTTTGACTCAGCTCATTAGCAGGTTTACTCCAGCCAAGAAGTCAATGGACCACAGAGCAAACTCTTTTTCAGAGGCAAAAGGGAAACAGGCTTGTGAAAGTGGACTATTGCATACACCACTAGAAGGGTTCACAGTATCACTGCCCTATAACACCTGCACTGCTTGTCAATGTAGTAATGATGTATTAGTGTGTTAATGAGGACCAAACAGAGATAACAGGACTCATGTGCACCATCAGAGTACCTGTATAAACTCAACCTTGGCACTGAGCTAGGACAACATAAATAATCATCCAAATTTTAACCTATCTGTGCACTGGACCTCAGAATGTATTTATTGTGTCTGTTCTATCTAGTAGGAAGTTGTTACACATATATAGGCTGACAGGCAATAGCCTTTTTCTAGTTTATAGGGAGAAAAAAGGTCTTGATCTTAAAATTAGTTTAATAACATATATTTTTATTTCATGCAGAAAGAACTTGCAGCACTGAAGCTAAGCTGTTCCTGGACCTCATGGTCCAGCCAGAGCTGAAGGCACATTTGCAGATAATACCATGTGAGTGACATTAAAACATCAGAGGGAAAGGACATAGCAGAGAAGATCACAGTATCACTTCTTGTCAGCACTTGCTGGAGATCTATATCATATTAGGTATCCTAATCAGGCTGAAACAAATTTCATTGCAGTGTGTTCCATATATTCTTCTCTTTTACTATATTGTTAGTGCTATACATATTTTTTACTCAAGTGGTCACAACCAGTTGTAACTCCTCTCTTTTGTCTTGAAACCTATTTTTTTGGCCATGAATTTTTGTAATTTAAAATCACTGGACATCTATTTTCATACTGGAAATAAAAACTTTAATTATTGATAATATGGGAACCAGAATATTAAAGTATAATTTCAATACTTTCAGCATTAAGTTAAAAGTATGGTCTAATATTTTACACATATCTTTTTCTTTAAAGTGCTGTTTAAAGACTGTCTTGACTTTTTTAGAGTAAAATCTATTGGTTACCTCCCCTGTCACATTCAACCAAAGAGAAAAAAAAAAATTGGGTAGGTTTTCTTCATCCAGAACCACAAAGAGTAGGGTCAATTAGAATATGTTCCTGGCAAAACTTCAGGGTGGAAGTGAATCCATCTTGCTTTCAGGCAGGTGATGTGCATGTCTGAATGCTTGCAGAAGAACACCTTTCAAGTTGAAGGTGAACTAAAGAGTTCAAAAATGGATGCAGTAGATATGAAATAAGAAGAAATTGCTCTGGAATACTCCTATGAGAATGCGTTTCAGTATTATGCTAGGCTATTATCCCTCCCCACTATTTTATATTTAGAGCTCACCTGCTTCTAAGAATGGCATGAAACTCAGGTGCTTATCTTAGACTAGTTTGTGCTAGAATTGACCAAGATTAATTTCTGTGCAGTACAGTTCACACAGTTGTGTTTAACAGCAACTTTTAAAAAGAGATCCCAGACAAAGATATGGATTAAAAAATAAACATGCTCATAGCTCTAATAGAAACAGTGTGGGCCATGCAACAGATAAATACATGGCTTGGGAAACAGGCAGGGCTGCTGAACACTTTCAAGCTAGGTAGCTGTTTCTGTATTTTTTTCCTGATAGTTACATCTGATTACTGCATCACTTTACAAGTACAGTTCTATGTAATCTTCCAAAGCATTACTGTTTGGAGTATGTTCTGTAGGTATAGAAAGCTGAGTTTCCTCTCCTTCCTTCTACAAAACCCCACCAGGCCTCTTTAATCCGTGACCTAACAGGTGACTGGAATTCATGGTGAACAATTTGAGAGCCATTTTAAAATGTATCAAAAGTTGCAGGATCTAATTACTTGTTTGACAAGTGCACAGACAGCAACCAAAACCCCATCTTAAAGCAGGTTTTTTAAACTTTTTTGGAGAGACTGTCCTCATTTTATGTTAATTTCTGTATTGAGAAATGTGCTAGTATGTTAACACATTATTCAATCCCACTTGTATATTTTCAGTATATGTAATCACAGTATTCTGTGATTATTTTTTTAATCTCTGTATGATTTGTACTGGAAATCTGATACTGGAAATTTCTGTGTTAGTGCTTTGTGGCATTTGAAGATTTTTGTAGCTATTTATAGCTATTTGCAGTTACAATGATTTGAAGCTACATAAGGTACTGCATTAAACATCTTAGACAATTGTTTCCACAGTTGAATCTCAATGACATTTCAAATCTGCATTGTATGCCTAATTGAAAACTTTTTTCCTGAACTTTCTTCTTGACAATAGATAAATTTATCCTTGCAATTTCCTCTGAGAGAGATGAATGCTACACTTTCCCATTTTACAGATGAGGAAATGCAGCATAAAATCAAGTCACTTGTCCAAGATCAGACAGACAGTTTTTGACAAAACTATGAACTCTAAATCCCAGGATACCAGTGCAGTCATTGGACCACTCTTCAGCTTTTAGAGAACTACCCTTTCTGTCAAACATCATCTTTGAGCTTGTTGACTTTTGAAATTACTTGTCCCTTGAAAATGGCAAAGTTGTGTTAAATGCTTTACAATATTGAGAAAATTTTATGTTATTCAATTTTCCTCAAAGCTAAATGAAAGCCCTGAAATATGAAAATGACAGCATTTCCCTCTAGTGGCTTTCTCAATATTTTATAGTGTCAGGATGACAATTTTTTTTCTTTAGCTTTTTTTCTTTTTGACTTATTCCTTCCATACAGTCTTTTCTCTCTCACTGAATAAATCAGTTTTTAAATTGCCTTAAAATAAATCTTATTTCTTGAACTCCTACTTTGCACCAAAAAGAAATTAAGAGAAAGAAGAAAGAAAAATTTTATCAATTTTTTTTACTCAACACTTTTGAGTAAATTCATTCCCATATCACATACAGTTTAAAAAAATCCTCTCTCCTCTGACTTTGTGAAGAATAGGGTTCTAACAACAGATCTTTCCATTCCTCTTCTGATTTAATTATTTCTCTGTTCGTTGTTAATCACTATACAAAAGCATTTGATCATCCTTAATGCATCCTAACATTCAGGAAAAAAAAATGTAATCAATTGAAAGAATCAGACTTTTTCAAGAAACTGAAGTTGTAAAACAAAGAAATGAATTTATATCCATATGTGTTGGTAAATCAAGTCTTCAACTTTTGTTTTATGAAATAAGAAATATAACAATAATATTAAAATTTTTTTTTTTTTTTTTTTTTTTTTTTTTTTTCCTAAGACATATAGGAAAAAATAGAGGGTGACTTTTTACATTTCAGGATGCTGAAGTGTAAAATTGTAAAAAAAACTTAAAAAAAATTTGATTCTGTCACTTGTTGCTGGATTTTTGGCTGGATTTGTGTGTGTGAACTTTTTTTTTAGCATTACTTAAAAATTCCAAAAATAATTCAAAATGGATTGCTTCTCGATCAATATGACATTGGTAGGCATCAACAGTTAAAAATGATAACAACAAAATTCTTCCCAGGAGCTTCATCTATCTTTGCTCCTGTTAAATCCATAGATCTCTAACTCATCCTAATATTATCCTCTAAAACAATGCACAACATTGTTTTCTGATGCAGATCAGCCACCTACCCATGCTTTTTCCTTCTTATTTTTCAGTACAGAGAGGAGTGCTGGGCTTAACAATAACTTGATGCCTCAATGGGCTCTGCTACCAGAGTATTGTAATGCATTTCTTCCTCCTGCTATTTTCTCTGAATAGAGTGTGCTGTTAGAGATAAAGAGCTTTAGCATGGCACTGAGCTTGGTTAGTTTTAGGGATCAGACAGGAATATCAGTAGCTTCAGAAGCATAAGATAAACAACCAAATGCTTTTCTAGAATGGCTGTGAGCAATTATGGCTACTGTGTATAGTTTTTAATACCTTTTCTACAGAGACCACACACATATTTGGCACATTGCAGACTGTGTAGGGGGAAGGGAGTTCAAGCTCTTTAGAATATATGTAACTTCCTACTTTGGCTTTTTAGAAGCTTGCTTTTGAAGTGAAGCAAGAAATGAATCAGTGACAAAAATAGAGATAGGAAATCATTCCACAGGTATCAGCAATGGGAATCACCTGATAATGACCATCCATATTTAAATGTAGATGAGTGGTGGGATGAGAAACTGTATTTCAATGTTATTTCTTAACAGCACTATTCTCAGGAATATCAATTCATCTGCCACTAATTTCATATAACATTCAAGGTGACTCTGGGAAAATTCAGATACAGGGGTGAAGTGAATTATTGATATTGGTATAGCAGAGAGAATATTCAAACAATCAACTGTCCAATAAGTAAAAGTAAATTATCTATAGCTCCTTGTACGTTGCAATACAAACTAGTAACCAAAGTTTGTTCAAACCAGGCCTCATTGAAAAAGGAACCTGTCAAATGACTGAAGTGATCTGTACTCATTACCAACCTAAGTGGCATAGATTGTTTATTGAAAACAGTGTTCTAAAGATAGCAAAGCAGCTTTCTGTGGTTCATCATCTAAATAAAACCTTGCCTAGGATATTACGGATAGTAGCAACTACATTATTTTAATGAGTGACTCCTTGGAGTTATTTGAACATTTCTTTGCAAAAACAGCTGTAATTTTGGTTAGGCACAGTTATTATCCTAGATGGCCCAAAACATGTAAGGTTATATAAGAGAAGAAAAAATTTGGAATCATCTTTAATTCTGACATCTGATTGCACTCCAATGTATTTCTTACTTTGTATGTTTTATAATTTTGTTCTCTTATGTAAAGGGAGAATACATAATCCTTTTTTGTTGAGATTCTGTTCTTTTAATTAGCCTTTGGTGGTAGTTTCAAATTTAAAAGGTATTTGTTCATTTTCAGGCAATTTTCTCCTACTGCTTAAAGAAAAATGGAGACAGACAGGATGAGATGAAGGCGCCTGAAGCTCTTGCAGACTCCTGTTGGCTTGTTTGACAAGATCTTACTAGTACAGATGGGAAATAGGCTATTGCAGAGATGGATATTAGTACAAGAATCAGAGAAGAAATACATTTCATACTGAGCCTGATCAAAGATCAAGAGTAAAGGTATGAAACAAGAATAGCCTTTAAAAAAATCATGCCAGCCTGGTTCTTATAAAACATACAGAAAAAAGGAGACATCTCACACCAGGCCTGTTCTAAGATAAAGAATGAAAATATAAAGTAAGAATTGCCCTAAAAAATTTATGTGCACCAAGATAGTTGGGTCCTTATAAAACTATAAAAAAACAACAGAAATGGATATGAGATTTTAAAATTCCAAATGAAAGCAAAACTTCTGTGTTAATGAAGTAAGTCTAGAAAGTCTTCAAGTTGCTTAAGAAGCTGGCCAAATAAATTAGAATAAAATATTATGGTTCCTGCTACATGTCATTGAGAGGCTGGTGGTGCAATTCATACTTAACATTAAGAAGCTATGCAGAATAAAAATCACTGACTACATATCAATTGTCTACTTTTGCTAAAACTCCTTTGGGGGCAATGAACGATTACTTAAATAAAAAAGTTGAAAGAATTTTTAATGAATTAAGCCATGCTGTCAATAGTTAAAAAGTGAACAGCATTTTGAAGATTCCTAAGGGTAGGATGACACTGTTTGCTGTCATTCTACGAAACCCTGTCAGAGAACAGGGGTTAGGCTGAGCATCAAAGCCATTTCTGACCTGAAGAGCTGTCTTTTCTCATGATTCAATTTCCTAGCAATTAAAATATATTTTCTGACATCCTATTATCTGGACAATGTGGTTGAAATTTGTAAGTAATTTTAGGCAAACTTTTGATAGACAAATTATATTGCTTGTGTAGTCAACTGATATATATTGGATACTTCAAGTGGTCCTAAGTACAGGCATCAACATCAGTACATACATGAGGAACAAATTCCTTGTTACACCCAGACTTCCAAAGGTAACTGTACATACTGGAGCATCCCCAATAGCCCATGTTTTATTCTGGTATAACTTAGAAACATTTAGTTAACATCAGTTGAACCTACCATTTTTATACTCAGATTTAAAGGTCCAGTTTGTAAGAGATGCAAATAATCACAGATCTTTGTAAGACATAAGTTTAAATATCTTCTTCCTGCCACTTTTGTCTATCTTCATGGTGTGAAATACATTTCTTTCTTCGTATTTTATCAAATTATTTTGGGCCAAGGCTTGTACTGTATCAGACAACAGCATAATGGAAAATGGGGAGAGAAAGAGATAAAGTTTTGATGAGGAGCCTCCTTGATGCATTTATGCAAGCAAGTAAATTAAATATTTACAAACTGGGGACTCAAGAGCATATTTGGTAGTGTGAAAACTCTTTATAAAATAATTTGTTGCACTGTAATTTTTGATTCCAAAATGTCAAGTGTCTTAAGATCTGTATCTGTCTTTGTTTCCTTCTGTACTGATGAGGGAAAAACATTTCTTTTATCAGATCTTAGAGAGAAAGAAAAAGGGAGATCTTGAAAATTTCAGTAGGTTCATAAGGAAAAAGAGAACCTGAAGGTCTCTTTATACTAATGAAACTCTAGACTTCAGGTCAGTACAGAAAACACAGTTTTAAATGAGTTATTGCTACTTCATTTGGTCTAAAACATAGTAAGCATATACTTCTCAGTCTTTTAATTTTTTGGTGAGAGACTAAACAAAGTTCCCTTCAAAGTACAAGGTTCTTCATGAGACTTCATAGATTAAATTATTTTTTTAACAATTCCCTTTTCTGTTTTCCTGTCATTTGCTTAGTAAATATTGAAGCAGCCCTTATGATTTGTCATCTATACCTCTCTGCCTTCTTTACTAAAATTAAGATGTTTTTCTTTTAGGCAATTATTTTAGTATGGAACAGTTCAGGCCTCTGCAAGAACTTCTAAAGTTGTTGGGTAGAACAATTATCTTAATGAATTTCATAAATTCTTTTTAACTAGCTGTTTTCTCTGTGGCTGAGGGAGGCTGGATTTTGCTGAGAATTGTCAGGTATTTTCTATAGCCGATAGAGGGGCCCTTTCTGCAGCAAATTTGTAAAGTGTAAATCTGTAATATGGAAGCAGTCTTCTTGTTTCTTTCATTCTTTCTATTTCCTTTAATTAAAATTAATGTTTGAGTATTTCTCACAGACAATGACAACTAGAGAAGCATTAAATATCCATAGGAAATAGCATGAGAGGGAAGAGTTTACGAGATCTGCTTTTGTCTTTTAGTAGCAGTGGTGAGTAAAAATATGATTTTCTTTCTGGAAACATCACACAAAGATTCAGGGATAGCTAAGAAATTATGAGGACAAACTTGAATTACCTTTCTCCTACTGCTGGACAGAAAATGGTACATAAAAATGGTAATTTCAAATCAGTGAAACTCAGATTTCCATCTCCTAATATTGATACTTGATTCTAGTTTTAATGTTTATCAACACAGTGGAGAATGTTAACAATGTAAGGACCCTTTATTGACCATAATTTATTTATTTTCAATAATTATTCCTCTAGTGGGCTTCAGAATTTTGATTTTACAGTAATTATGATATTATTGATCGAGAACCAACAATGCGACACTTCAAATTTTCAGATTTAAATGGAGATGTATTAGACAAGTATTTTTAAATTGCTGCTTAATGGTAAAGGATTCAGAGCTAACAATGAATTAAGTCAGCATGGTCAACACGTCCATCTGTTATTGTAATGAAATGTGTGTCTTTTCAATATCAGAGAAAAGAATTTTTATCTAAATAAATCAGAGTTCAGGGAAGTGCAGATGTCTGCACATATTGTATATGTAATTCAGGGCAATTGTGTATGGAAAAATGCATTAGCTTCTGGAAGTTTTTTACCAGAAATGTTCAATATTAATTAAGGTACTAGAAAAATGCAGTGCTGGAGGCAATGAAAGTATAGCCATCTAACCTTTCCATTTAGTCATTGTCACCATGGTCTTTCTGGAAGAGGGGTCTGAAGATTCTCTGTATGGCAGATGAGCTGTGTCAACTCAGTAGCAATGCTGAGGAGTTTTCAGCAATTGACCAAAGCTTCTGTGCTTTGCCTGCATCAGAGTCCACAATAGAGACCTTGGCAGAGCAAAAAAAGAATCAGTTCTGTATTGCCAAATTTGTGAGCCAAAGAGCATTGACAGTAGGCAAGTGCCTGTGTCTGTCTGAAATGCAGTGATAGGTTTATAACTACCTTAGAAAAAAAAAAAAATCTAAACAAAAACAAAGGCAGGGAAGTGTTCCCACAACAGAAGAAAGATTACAATTTCCCTTGCTTGTTTAAAAATAACCCTGACTCATGCTCCATGTGCTCTTTGTCTGTCTATTCACTTTATCTGCTCTTTGTCTGAATATTCACTTGCCCTCCCCATCTATAAGTTGTTATTGTTTTTAAACACTTTTATTCACTGTTTTGGTTTTTGTTAGAATTTGATTACAACTACTGACTGAACTCATTCAACTTTTATTTTTCAAGCAAGTGATGCAGTTCTAAAACTTACTCAAAATCTGCAATCAATTTGTCCTTTTCCTAATATCTAAGGAACAAGCATTCAGGAAAACAAAAGCACTTAGTGGGACCTAAAAAATTTATCAAGTCCTTTGTAGTTTCTAAGAGACATAGGAGAGAAGCAATAAGAGAAATAAAAAGGCAGCATCTAAGAGATGGGTGGACAGAAATGAGAAAAAACAATTAAGACAAAAGCCAGAGATTTTGTATTTAAGAATAAATTTGGGTATGTCCAAATACATGCCCATATGTGCACAAAGAAAATGATGGGAAAAGAAAGAAAGCAATGTCTTATTTTTGGCTATTTCCAATGGAGGAGGGAAAGAAATGTTAGGATAAAAAAAAAATTAAAACCCCCAGAAACTACACTTAATTTGCCCACAACACAATTTAAAAAAATACAAACTGAACCAAGGAAATAGAAGCTTGTGCAACCTTTTGCTTTGTCCAGATGAACTATATTTGTCTGCTGCAAAATAAAGTTTCATTGTTTTTTTACTCTTTGATAGAAGCAAATGTCAGAGAGATGTGTATTGTTTCAGCACAGTGCAACTGAGGGGTGGGTAAAAGGGTTTTTCTGTCCTGCCCTTGTTCTATCTTAAAAAAAAAAAAAAAAAAAAAAAAAAAAAAAAAAAAAAAAAAAAAAAAAAAAAAAAAAAAAAAAAAAAAATTAAGAACAGTTACAAATAAGAAGATCTCATTTTTGTTAGTATTTCCAGCTGTTCAGCAAACAAACAGTCAGAGCTTAGTACCTGCTCTTTGGACTGAGAGTGTCTGGCTCACATTCCAGGTGAAATACCGGTGGCTAAAGAGCTGCACTCAGCTTTGTGTGCAGCAGGCAGCCCACAGGCATTGCACCCAAATGGGAGAGCCAAGTTGACTCCACTACCAGCTCATTGACTTTAAATCATTTTAAAGGCCACTACATTTTGAAATTATTCATTTAAACCATGATAGATGGCATCAGTTTATATTCAGAGAAGCAATAAAGAGGAAACCTACATTCACCTCTCAACAATGCATCCTCTCCCAGCGCTGGGCCTCAATGGCAATAAGGATACTGCCCCTTATGGCTTTTCTGATAGGTAAAGCCCATTAGAGCTCGACAGCACGCTATGCACTGGTAAACACTGTTTGACTGATGAGTCCACTTTTTTGAGGAGTGACTGTAGTAATACAAAATCAGGTAATAAAGAGTTCAGGTACTTCAGGTTTCCACTTCAGTTTATTATATTCCAGGAGTGATTCAATAGTGTTGAAAAGATACTGTGTAATTCAAGTGCTTCCCTTTCAGCACACAGTCATTGCTACAAACTGTCTCTTTTTGCAGAGATAGAAAAATAGAAAAGGCTTTTGGAGGTCAGGCAGTCTGACCTCCCGCTCAAAGTAGTGGTGACTTCAAATGTAGACCAAACATAATCAGATTTTTTTCTTGCCAAAGTTTTAGAGGTTCCAAGGGGGAAGATTTTATGATTTCTCTGAACTATCCTTTCTAGTGCTTCACCACTCTAGTTGTGAAGATTCTACTCTTTTGTTTGAAGGAAGGTCATCTGATTCAAGGCTAATCAGATTAAACAGAAGTACTCATTGTGAGTCAGAATAACACAGATACGGTAAAAATAACCCCTGAATCTTAAAGTCCACCAGAGCTGTCTTTAGCTGTCTGGGAAGAAGAAATCTGTCTTCATATTTCCACCAAATTTAGCTGTCTGTAGTTTTCCATTATCGTAACTGATTTTGTCATAGCCTTTCACTATGCACGTCTTTTCCTCTCACTTCCCAGTGTTATGTGTAATACAGATAATTCGTGCCTGTAGAATGATATGTATGTAATGTTTTATACTATTAAAAATACCATACGAGTCAGTACTAAGGGGTTTGCCTCATATATGTTGAAGCTGTCTCTGATAATACTTCATTTACAAGTTAATACACGTAGCCCATCCAGAGATGGGTCGTTTCTCA